AGATCGCGGCAGGAGTTGGCTCTCTGTCATCGGTGGGCTCGGGCTTTAGCTCCGCACCGCGGGGAGATGGTGGGCTGGGCTCTGGGTCTGGAGTGGATCTGACGAGATCATCCACGGGGTAGGATGGTGATCCGTTTCTCACCAGAGTCCACTCCACGAAGGTAACACACAGAGGTTACTGTCTTTGGTCGGGTCTTCTGTCACGGTACGCTGTAGGAAGGAGTATGAGGGAAACGAGGAGTACAATCAAATCAAATAAGGGAACAGAAACAGGGGCAAAACATGACACAGACAGTCCGTGATCCTGACAAATAGTAAGTACATGTAACATGTGTAAGGACACCTTAAAATAAAGTGTTACCTAATCACTTTTAACCCTTTCAGTGCTATACTGAAAGTCCTTTTCCTAATTTTCTGGATCAAAAATGGTCGGCCTTTATAATTGCTTCTCTCATTACGCTATTAAAATTATGCAGTTCTGTTTGGTTGTAGACCTGTATTTGTAGGGCTGTATTTGTGGATAATTTTGGCAGTGTTCACTCAAAAGGTGCTCAGATCAATGAGGTCTACGATCAGTACAAAACCTTTGCTAACTGAAAGAAAACAAGTTCATAAAAAGATTGATCCAAGATTTAGAAAAATATATATATTGCATAATGAGAGAATTACAAACAATTTTTTGTAGGCCGGTCATTTTTGACCAGGAACAGCACAAGTGTAACAAGGTGGGTAATATACAGTATATATATATATATACTGTATATATATATATATATATACACACACACACACACACACACAGTATATACATATATATAATTTTTATACATTTTTTTGGTTGTTATACCCTGTGTGAGCAAAGTCAGTAAATTTTAGTCCAATGCAATAGCATTAACTACTATTTTCAGAAAAAAAAAAACTCTCAGAGTGATACTAACACAACATGAGGGTTAAACATGAAATGTTTAGTGGAATGAGTTGACCATCAGACAAATAACACACATAAAGAAAAAAGATCTTAATTACGCGAGAGATGCTAATGCATACACTCATTATTCAAGAACATGATGCAAGTATAAGTTCTTAATTCCTTAGATTATTACATTAGCACCTTCATGTCTATTCTTCAGTGCCAAATTGTCTCCTCCAAATGGGTTTTAAAACCCATTTATGATGTTAAGCACAATAGTCTTATGAGTTGCATGCATTCATGCATTCCTGGGCATGTGCATGTTCTCCCAACAGAGAGAGAGCCAAGATGCACAGAGAAACATCAGAGAACATCAAACAGACCGTGAGCTGAGAATACATATTAAATATCCACCCCCCACACTGAGATTTACTCCATCCCTCTGTTACAGCGCCACCGCGTCAAGAGCGGCACCATACGCGTCTGCAAACGTGCACGCGTGAATGGTGTTCGTACAAGTTGAGTTCTATGGATGCACTTTTTCTCCTCTATTTCCAAGGCGAAATCTTTGAAGCTGTCAGTATAACCCCGGCGCTTTTGATCTAGTGCAGTGCGAGCCGTGTCTCTGTAGAGGGCAGGCCACTGAAAGCATTAGTTCAATGTTGCATCACCAGTTAGAGCTGCAGATTATGTCATCAACACTCTCACACACACATGCAGAAGAGCAGAACTAGAGCAGAACTAGAGGAGGGCTTGCAATGTACCAGGGTTAGTATAACGACGTGGCCCTCGGCTGCGAATATAAAGGCAAATGGAGTGGAAAGTCTATATAGGTGATAAAATAGGAAAGGAGCAGGATCAAATGCTTGTCAAATAGTGTCAGACAGCCTCGTGCTCTATCAGGGATGAAGTTGCTAGATGACGAAAGTGAGAGACAGAGGTCCAGAGGAAAGTCGAGTACACGGTGTTGTCTTCTCAGGAGAAACTCACTCGATCTCCCTGTGGAGATAAAACACAACGAAAGACAAATACAAGATCAGCAGAGATGAAAAACGTGCCATACATGCCTCGCACGCGCTTTCATCGCCTGTATCCCGACGTCAATTATTAATGTTTGATGGAAATCATTTTTCCGTGTGAAATCTGGGTGCTAATGCGCCATTTTAAGTCGTACGTTATTGCATCTTATATATTTCAGGCGGTACATTGCAAAAGGCCTCAAATGACTGCCTTTAGCTCCCCTCAGGAAAACAAAGAATGAAACTTTAGCGTTTGAGTTTGATAAGTGACTCTATTTTGAGAGGATGTGTTGATTTTCTTGATTCGGTAAATCTCACGCCTTCGGCATTGAGGGAAATTTTGGAATTAAATGTGACGTTTGCTTCATGATCCCTTTGAAAAAAATCAGATGAATTAAGGATTTTGGAGAAGAATGAAAATATATAGCAGATTAGTTTTTAGGAGTTGGCCCTGATAAATCTTGGATGGGGCTCTAACCTCAACAACCGCAGCAACAGAGTCACCCAGAAGAACATCACCTCTCCTGTTTTCACCTGCTCGAGTCCCGCGGCTGTTTTAGGTTCAGAAATTATTCATGTATTTACAGCCTCGTTAAAGCATCCAGTGGAAACCTGTGTGCCATCATAGTTTCCTGAAAAATACATCTATGGCATTCTGTGGAGCTGGGATGAGAAGATAAGCTACAGAGCAGAAATAAATATGAAAGACCACACCATTTCCAATTCAGGAAAAATGAATGGCAGAGAAATCGCAATATAAAGCCTATATATTTTGTATTATGGCCTATAATCAAAATGTTATTGCTCTTTTATAAGATCGTGAGACATGACGGAGTTCTCAATTATGTTATACATTTTGTCTCATGCATTTATCCTACGATTTTCAGAGAAAAAATTCAATAGATATGAGTCAGACAAGTTAGTCTTTTTTCTGCTGAGATGCAAAAGTTTAAAATAAATCAACAACCTTCACTAATTATTAATATTGTTTTCATGTTTATTAATGTTTGTTCATGCAATGTAGGGATTCCCAAGTTTTGACATTTAATTATTAGCTTTTCATGAACACGGCTTTTTCATGAACCCCATTTTGGGAAACTTAATGTAATGTTTAATGCATTTCATGATATTGATAACAATTAATTAAAGAATGAAATGCATTTTCTTTCTCTTTTTTTCTTCTTCAATATTGTAATCACATTCAAGTCTATGTGATAAACAATTTAGGTCAAAAGTAATCAAAAAGTAGTCAGACTACATTACTCAATATGTGTAATCCAGATTATGTTACTAACTGTTTTTGTCATGTAATTTGTAATCCGTAATAGATTACAATTTGTAAGTAATCTACCCAGCACTGTGTACTGTATTGTATATTTTTAGATTAATCTCACTGCTGTCTGTGATTTTTTCCCTTTATAACTAGTTACAGATCTCTGTACACTAGAACATCTAGGCATAAAAACATGTTTTTTTCCCTCCCCATTCCATCTCCAGTTTAAACAGCTAACACAGGAATTATTACCTGTGTTCTGTAATTCAAGTACTATGTAAATACATATGCATATCTCTTTATTTTATACAGCTGCATACAGAGTAAATAATGCACAAATCTGAACATAAATCTTCTGTTCCAGATTCATACACATTATTATTAGTTATTGTAAAGTCTCACGTCAGATATGTATGCATGTATACAAACCCCAACAAATTCTAAAAATAAAAAAGCTCATTCTGATTCTGAGTTGCACTCCAATAAAACGGAGAGAAAGAACACAACGTAATAAAACATACTAAAAACTCCCTCCTTGATGCAGAGTAGGGGATTTTTTCTGTTTTCAGAGCACAGACCTGGGCTTTTCCATGGTGTCCTTGCTGAGGTAGATGTACCAGTAGATGAGGTTGAAGATCCCAAAGGCCAGAGGGAAGAGGATGCGGGAGTATTTGTCTATGGCACTGGTGCCTGCCAGCATCATGTTGGGTGGGACAGCCGAGCCCTGAAGGAAGATGGGATAGCGATTCCTGGGCGCCTCGGACACAGAGTTCGCCCGTCTTCTGCGGGTAAAGCCACTGGTATCAGACTGAGGCTGTGACACAAGCAAACTGTGAAGAACACGAATCAATCCCACCTGATATAAGACATATATAACAGAGACAGAACCAGCATTTAGGGTACTGATTAAAAAATCCCTTAAATAAAAGTGTGATGAACAGTCGTCAAAAAAATAGACAATTTGTATGTATTCATGTAAAGCAGTTTAAAGGGACAGTTCACCCAAAATTGAATATTCTGTCATCGTTTACTCATTGTCCACTCGTTCAAAACCTTTGTTTTTTTTCTTCTGCTGAACACAGAATAAGATATTTTGAAGAATGTTCGTAACCAATCAGTTGAAGATAGCCATAGTATTTCTTCCATACTATGGAAGTGAATGGCTACCGTCAGCTGTTTGGTGACTAATATTCTTCAAAACATCATCTTTTGTGTTCAACAGCTGAAATAAATTTATTTGCTATTTGTTAAGTTTTGAAACAACTTGAAAGTGAGTCAATTTTCATTTTCATTTTTGAGTGAACTATCCCTTTAAAGAGGCTGATCGTGTCCCACCAACAAGCTGTGGTCCTTCCTTTAATGTAAATCTATGGGATTTTTTCACAGGCTTTATCATCCACCAGGTGAAAAATTAAACTGCACACTTCTCAGGAATGGTATTCAAGGGTATCATTTGAGTGTACTGAACAAAGGCTGACAAGTTACGCCCTAAAGACAGTACAGTGCTGTGAAAATGTATTTGCCCCCATTCTGATTTCTTCTGTTTTTGTTTCATAAACACATACAGTTCTATGCATTTATTTATTTTTATTGAAGCAAAAAAAAAAGAGGCTATTCATAAATGATCAGCTATTTGAAATTGATTTAAAAACTATTTTGTATTTACTCAGGTTGCCTTTGTTTTCATTTCTGAAAGACTTGAGATATACACAAAAACAGCAGAAATCGGGATGGGGCCAAATGCTGCATAACACTTATGGATAGGAAAAAAACACATATCAGCTTTAAATAAAAAGAAACAGACAGTTATTGAAGATCATAATTACTCAAAATTTACTCTGACTTAAAGGTGCCACCACATTTACCATTGCTCGGTGAATTTTCGCAGACGAAATCCAGACATTTCAATAGAAATCCACACAATGGTGAATTTCATTACGGCGAAAGATTTCCACACCGATTCCGTTTGCAACGGGTTCACGTTTGTCACACAAATTCACCGTGCTGACCAAAAGAAAGCTGCTTGGTTTGACTTATGAGTGAGCTGTGCTTTATACATCTCTACACATCATAATGCACAATGAATGGCGCTTTATTCGCCAAAATTTGGTTCATTCTGCATGTGGAAGTCCTTGGCTCTAACGAATTCTAGATTGAATGGATTCCTATTAAAATGACTGGATTTCACCAGCCGAACAGTGGCGAAACATCTGCCAAATCATCTTAAAATAGCCAAATATCAATTGATTAATTGGACTCGCCAATATATAGCAACATTTCTAGCACTTTATAAAAATAAGGGGTTAAACTACACCCCAGTCGTTTTATATTTCCTTCCCATCCAGTCTGTAAGCCGGAGAGAGAACTGGAGCAAGTGGATCCGCAGCACAGGTGAGAGATTACAAGAGTCATGGCTCGCAGTTTTAATACAGGTGGCTATTTTTAAAACACCAACCATGAGCTCCCCGCGTGAGAGCGGTCCCAGGAGACGCCTCACGCCTGTAGAATTATCATATTTAACTCAGCACAACAGATTAGAGCTACAATCCACACGTGGCTGCATGAGAGCGGGTGAATGACTCCTCACTGAACACCTGAACAATTCAGTTTTTAACACATGCATTAAAGGTTGAGCCATGTGTTATGTATTTAGTTACGCGTGCTAAATACAGTGGTGGCCAAATGATTAGAACACTAGTATTTTCAGCAGCTAAAAATGGTTTTAAGTCAGTTATTTCTATCTTTTGCTGTAGTGTGTCAGAATCCAGTCTGTCTGGAATGACATGAAGAAACAGAACAAACTGAGACAGACTCAATCCAGAAGAACTGTGTCTCCAAGACGCTTTAAGAGAACAAGCTGCAAAGCTACAGTAGCCTACTGTTAAACGTTTTAGGCACTTGTGAAAAAATGCTGTAAAATGAGGATGCTGTCAAAAATAATGTCATACATATATTTTCTTTATCAATTAACTTCTATTAACTAAATTAAATCAACATTTGGTGTGAGCATCCTTTGTGTTTAAAGCAGCTTTTGCCCTCGGCGCACTTGAGCAGAGTTTCTCAGGAGCTTTGCAGGAGGTTTCTTGAAGCGTCAGTTCTTCTGGATTGAGTCTGTCTCAGTTTGTTCTGTTTCTTCATGTCACTCCAGACAGACTGATGATGATCAGATCAGATCTCTGTGTGGAGCACACAAAAATCTCACTGCATTATTACAATTAATGGCTAAATGAATGTTTGGAAATGTAAACTGATATCTCCTTCTGACACACTACAGCAAAAGAAAGAAATAACTGGCTTAAAATTTTTTTTTTTTTTTTAATTTTTTTTTAAAAATCACCATTTTTTAGCTGGTGGAAATACTAGTGTTCTAATCATTTTGGCCACCACTGTATGTCTTTAGAGGTATTTAATTATTTATATATGCAGATGCAGCGACACTCATTTAGCATCACAATAACTGTGACACAGTGCGCTGCTTTGTGAAGAGCAGAGCTCGTGTTGTGCATATCGTTTAACCAGGAGCTCCGTCAGCTGTGCTTTCTGACCAGAGTGTGGTGTTAGTTAAGCGAGGCTCGCAGGAGATCGTTACCGTCTCCGGCTCGTCGTCGCTGCCCTGGGCTATGGACTCCAGAACGGAGGCCCTGGAGAGCCGGCGTTTTTCCCTGTTGGCCTCGAGCGTGGCAAAGTAGTTGACCGCCGCAAACTCGACGAGGGCCGAAGCCACGAAGGCAAAGCAGACGGCGATGAACCAGTCCATGGCGGTGGCGTAGGAGACTTTGGGCAGCGAGGAGCGGGCGCTGATGCTCAGAGTGGTCATGGTGAGCACAGTGGTGATTCCTGAAGGTCACAGGAGATTATGTGAAGACGCAAGTGCAGATTTACATCAGGAATTATCCAAGAAACACTGAGAACATGAAAGAAAACCTTAAACAGTGAATAGTTAAAGGGACAGTTCACCCACAAATGTTGTTCCAGATCTGTATGAATGTTGGTAACCAAGCAACTGCTGGTCCCCACTGACCTCCATGGAATTGTTTTTCTATACTATAGAAGTTACCTATCGGTAAGCCCCGCCCCCCTTAGTTACTGTTGCTACCTCGGACAAGCAAACGGAGCTGCTCACTCTCTTACAATGACAGCTGTCAGTGTGAAAACCTTGTCACAAGATGTGGACAATTTTGGACACAGAAGGGCCACCATTCAAGTGGGAATTAAATATGCCATGGAGGGATATATAAAAGATTTTAAAATAAATATGGTGGGAAACACGATTAATCTGGAAGCGAGGGTTTGCGGATCACAATGCAAGCGGGAGAAGCCTCATGTTACGATCGACACGATCGCGGATGACAACATGCAGGATCAACACTTTTCATGTATCACAGGGCACGATTAAATTAATGTACATTTAGATCTATTTTTTATTTTTTATTTATTTTTATCTTTTATTATCTGTGTTTTTTGTTCTGTCACTGTCATTCTGTTACACTGTGGAAGCTTCTGTCACGAAAACAAATTCCTCGTATGTGTAAACATACCTGGCAATAAAGCTCATTCTGATTCTGATTCTGATTCTGATTTAACCAGTTTAATATGAAGAGATGTGTTTTTGACCTACACTACACATCGTTTTTCCATTTTTGTAGCATAAACACCATCAAACCGACGCGAGCTTCGGATCTTCCAATGTTTCTCTATGGCACTGAAACTGACACTCAACTGCCGTTGGCTCATCTGCATTCAAGGGGAGGGGCTTACCGATAGGTCAGTTGCTACCAGCAACTGTCCGGTTACCAACATTCTTCAAAATATCTTCTTCTGTGTTCAACAGCAGAAATAAACTCATACAGGTCTGGAAAAATTTGAGGGCGAGTAAATGGTGATGGATTTTCATTTTTGGGTGAACTATCCCTTTAAGACCACTAGTATACTATATTTTTAAATAGAATGTGAAACAGTATGAATTATGTTGTTAGCTACATTGTGGTTACATGAACTCATTATACGTTCCAGCAAATGGCGTTCAGTTATCATCTTGGAAATTAAAATGGGTATTTTTGCACTTTTATTATAGTTTTGTGTAGAAATGTCTATTGGCAGGTTGATCTAATAATCAAGGAAAAAATTACAAACTGTACTTTGGTTGGTAAATCACACCATACTCTGTATACTGCAATGTACTGGGCATATTCTTTGTATACAGAAAAAAAATAGTGTGTCTGTACAGTTTCAGTGTGGTTATTGTTGAGTAAAACTAAAACGCAAAATAATAAAAATTATTTTCATTAAGTGAAATAAAGCTTAAATAAAATATAAAGTATATAAATAATTGAAAAACTTTAGATGAAAAACTGTAAAATTGGAAATGCTGTTTTATCTGAAAATAAGTTGTAGATGAAGTACTAAAATGCAAAAGGAATTTTATTTAAAAAAATGAATATATATATATATATATATAAGCTAAGTATACACACACACACACATACTGTATATATATATATATATATATATATATATATATATATATATATAAGCTAAGTATACACACACACACATACTGTATATATATATATTATTATTAAAACTGTTATTTTGCTATTTTAAATGTTTTGTAAAAATGCAACATACGATCAAATACAAATTCAAGAAACAGATTAAAATTTGAGGCTGATATTACTTTCAGTTCATTTATCATACTGGAAATGGAAGGTCAAAACAACCGCATTGCATTATGGGATGCAGTATTCTACGCAATCTACTCTGTTGTATACAATACATTTTGTGGTGTGTCCTCCAGTTATTCCATACATACAGAAAAACTGCATACTGTGCAAAGTGCACTATATATTGCAACAGCAAGAGTAAGAGTAGTATGCTATTCCATAGAATAAATACGAACCATAGCATGTCATGAGTGATGACTGTGAGATGCAGGTATGCAGCGATTGAAAAGTATTATGATTCTTAATTTTCCTCTTTGTACAATTAAATAATGTTAAAACTGTGCCTCAAATTTCCAGATGAAACACTAACACATAGCCTAACATACACTGAAGTTCAAAAGTATGGGGTCAGTATGTTTTTTCTTGTTTTTTTTTTTAAAAGAAATTTATATTTTTATTCATCAAGGACGCATTAAATTAATCAAAAGTGACAGTAAAGACATTTATAATGTTACAAAAGATTTCTATTTCAGATAAATGCTGTTCTTTTTTAAAAATGCATTACGGTTTCCACAAAAATATTGTGCAGCACAACTGTTTTCAACATTGATAATAATCAGAAATGTTTCTTGAGCAGCAAATCAGCATATTAGAATGATTTCTGAAGATCATGTGACACTGAAGACTGGAGTAATGATGCTGAAAATTCAGCTTTGATCACAGGAATAAATTACATTTTATATATTCACATAGAAAACAGTTTTTGTAATAATATTTCACAATTTTTACTGTATTTTGGTCAAATAAATGCAGCCTTGATCAACATAAAGAGACCTCTTTCAAAAATCCAAATCGAACAATAGTGTAGATGTTTAATTTAATATGACCATCTAAAAACACACACTCATACCAGCCACTGTTCGAGCCGGGACAGACTCCTTGTTGATCTAGAATGCGACTTGTGACAGCACAACCACCATAATTAATGGGATGTACGTTTGGATGAGATGGTAGCCAAGCTTCCTCTGAAGATAGAAATGGACAACCTGGACAGAATACAGACCTAGACGGTGCCAAGACATTAGAGGAGGACACTGATGAAGACAAATCGTGCAAGTTCGATACATCCATATGATGCTCTGATCAAGCCCATTTGGCTGAACACGACTCCAAAACATTTAAGAGGGAATTTTGGCTTTATTTCTGTCCTTATTTACAAGAAAAGGTAAGCAAGCACAGATCTTTCTTTTGGGTTTGAGCCTTGATCTGATTGGGCCCCCAACAAGTGGTCCCTGCTTTTTGCCTGCCTATAAATTCCTCATTACTGAGCCCCCGGTCATCCTCGGGACACGATCAGAGGCTGAAACGGGCTTATTGTAACGCAGCTATTTTTAAAGACTGATCAGATAAGCATCTTAGATTGCCTCTCAAAGCGGAAGCTGGCTGGGAATTGTAGCTCTTAACACACACAATTAGATAAGTCATTTACCGTAGTAATAGGGGTGCGTGATATTGCTTTTGTGATTTTTCGATAATGATAATTAAACAATATTTTGCTTAGTGTGTTTTTATGCTGGTAACTTGGCTCGTTTAGGCCTGTCATGGATAAATAGATATGATACTAAAACCACCAGTAGGTGGCGGCAGCAAGTCCCTGTCTTAATGAGTGATTCACTGAATCATTCATTCAAATGACTCATTCAAAGCGGATGGTTCATTTAGAAACGAAGCAAGTGGCTGTCTTTATGAATGGAGCATTGAATCATTGACTCAAATGATTCGTTCAAAAACAGATTCGTTCAGAAACTAAACACTGCAGTGTTGCTCTGAGATGCACAAATGTCCTGCTCCGGCTTTGTTTCGAACCATTTCCGTTGGCAAAACGGAAAAAAAGACAATACTGTGTCTATAAAAAATGTAACTCACTCAATATAAAGTAATATCACATTCACGTGCAAATATTCAGGAAAACCGCACTCTTGCTTGTAATGCATACTAATTTTAGTGTTAGCCCATTCAGGGCTATTTTTTGCTTTCATAACTTGAATTATAGGGTCAATTTAACTGCATTCTAATAGGCTTCATCACAGTGAATGCTTTTGGACTCTCAAGACGTGTATTTGTTTTTTTTGCAAAGTGAATGACTCCATAATATCAGCTCACAACAATTACGATATTATCGCAGACGATAAATATCGCACACCCCTACTAGTAATACTACAAGACATCTGGCATGCTACATCTGTAATATTTAGGGACCACTGAGCAATAAATGAAAACACACCTGTGCTGAACTTATATGTTTCGCTGAACAAGGTCTGGCCCACAAGATCATACTGAAGTAAGCTTGATGATTCTGGAGGAAAATGTACTGATGCTTGAAGACCCTTCCTCCACGTGTAGACGGTTTCATGATTAGTGTAAGCATCTGAAGGTTTAAGAGAAAGCAGTTGAAGAATGGTGGATGGAAGGATGGATGAAAAACAGACAGACAGACAGATCTTACAGCTTCCAAACAGGAGAGGACATGTGTGTCCATCCATAGGAAAGTCCAACAACACCATTGGACATACTGCACTAACAGTCAGCCTGAAATATAGAGAAAACAGGCATTTATTCGATGACCCAAATTATGATATCTTAATGAAAACATTCCCATGTGTACTGAAACAGATTTCTGAGGGTTTTTTCAAAGCTCACCTCTCATCTGATTGTTTTACCTCATAGTGTAAAAGACCGTTCCGTTTTGCATGATTCGAAACAGCTTGTTAGGAGACGTCATGTTGTGTGCGAGTGACGTCCTTGCATTGCGAAAAAACATGTCGGGCGTCCAGATCTTGTCCACCATGCGATTATTCAAAGGCAAGATTTCGACGGGCCCCTGAAAGGCTAACCTCTCGTCAACCCACATTTGGCGGAAAAACATATCCATGGTGAACTCCTGAGAGAAAAAACAATTTCTTTCTGTGAAACATATTCTTTTTTTTTTATGGCTACAACTGATATGAATTCATCATTTGAGTTCTTTTTTTAAACATAGTGTGGGTGAGACTTGACATACTGAAATTAGTTTGAACAGACGTGCAAGACAGAAATAAAACGACAGCTTATTATCGACTTACAAAAGTACTTTAGCCACAAGACACAAAGCACTATAGCTAAATCGAATTTGTACAATAATAAACATAAAAATATAGATGTAACATTTGGGTGCTGTATTTTCTTACCATCTTAACATCAGACACTGGTCCAAAACTTGTGACGAATATGTCTGTTTTGACCTCAGTTACAGAGACTGCAAAGTTAATCACAGATTACATATGCATGCAGAAACGTGAGTACATTATATTGTTACAGCAAAATGAGGTGAAATGCATGGGTCAAAGACAAATCAAAACAATAAAGCTTAATACAGCTTTAAAAATGTTTTCATGCATTACAATGCGTTCTGTTTAACTTTATTTTTCTGAGCAAATAAATAATGCATTTTTACTATGATTTGCAGAAAATGTCATTTAGTGTAACAATAGTTACAAAAAGTCTTGTCAGGCATATTTACAGCTACAATCATTAGATGACATTACAAGACTATTTAAGGATCACAGTTCAGCCGTAAAATACTAATTAATTGTCATTTTAAATCTTTACCCATCTTTGCCACTATATCCTTCAAACCACTATTGTACCCATTTGTCAGCAATGCGTATTTAATCATTTAAAATATAATAAAAATGTAGCATGGATACTTATTCTTTTATATATTTTAATAAGTACAGGTCAGAATAAGTATGTTGTTTCATTTTTACATAAATGTATGCTACGCTGAATAACAACGGAACAGTATTTCTCACATATTTTGACATTTCATTTTCACAAAAGTTAGAAACATTACTTTTCTGGCATTTAATATGCTTTCCATGTATAATAAAATCCCTTTTGTAATTTTAATTTGATGCAAACACCAAAATGGGTGTCTCAGATGTCAAAACTTTCTATACTCTAGCTACTAAATCATTTATTTCTATACTGTGAGGCCTGCGCTTACCTCCAGATCCCGGGCGCAGTCGATTGTCATAACCCTCAAGAAGTCGGTCTAGAATCCGTGTTATGTTTTCTGAATTTATCTTTTGCTTTCCTAATACATCTGCAACACTACACGGAGAGAAAGTACCACCTTGATTAGTCCTTTCAGTGAATTTAGACCTAAGTCAGGTTAAATTAGGCATTAAAGTTAACTCATTTAAAGTCAGTATACCTTGCTTAGTCCATTAACTCACCTTGTGAGACATAACAAGGCCAAAAGAACAGCCATTTCTGTGACAAAAAGGTAAATAAATGTAAATAAAATAAAGCCGTCAGTGGTTAGAGGTCATAATGTAATGTATAATGTGCTCTAGATGTAAGAGTACGCCTTACAGATGCACTGAAGCACTGTCTTATGTCTGTCAGTAAATGAAGAGCTGAATGTGAAGTGAAATGCTTTCAGGATAATCAATTTAAGGGATTAGTCAAATCCAGGTTAAAGAGTATCATCTAGCAAACTAGGCATCAACTAGCAAACTAGTCTTTCTTGCAAAAGTTGTTCAGCTTCAATAAACATTGCCCCTGTAGTAGTTGCCTTGTCTGACTTTCATAATTAGGGTTCAAATAAACTTATAGCCAGGGCAATATAACACAAGATATAGTGTTATAAATATGTGTAACATATTTTGACTCAAATATTACATATATATGGAGCTAATATGTTAGTTAAGTATTGCATTACACTGATAAATACATTTATAATGTACTATTTATTAATATATAGCCTATTATTTATATCTAGAAGCTTGCATTCTGCAAGTGAACGGTGCATTATTGTTCATCCCAAAGAGGCACAAAATCACTTTCCCAGACTTTTACATTAAATGTTCCCTGCTGGTGGAATGACCAGGGACCATCTTCAAGAATCGGCTAAACACACATCTCTTCCATCTGTATTTGATCCTCTAACTCTAGCACTCTCTATTGTAATTCTATTCTTAAAAAAAAAAAAACACTTGCCCCTTTTAGGCTTGCACTCTATTCATTTGCTAACTGCTTGTTTTCTTTAAAAAATTTTTTTTTTTTAAACTCTAATCTTTTTGTATTCTATCTATTTGTTTTCTTTTTATTTATTATACAATTAACAAAAGCAACAATAAAGGCCTCTAACACTAGCTTGCTCTATTCTTTTCAGCCAGCACTTGCATATCATTGTTGTTTTGTTAGTTTTGATTGCTTCTATTGTCCTCATTTGTAAGTCGCTTTGGATAAAAGCATCTGCTAAATGACTAAATGTAATATTTTGCAGCCTTAGTCTTGTTGCTAGCCTGTTTGTTTATGATGTAACCGATTATTTCTCTTAGTAATTAAAAGAGTGAAATAATCTCAACTCAGCAGATGTATTTCACTCAAAATAAACAATATTATACGCTGGCTGTACGTTATTCCTTATATATTTGACGAAATTTTACAAATTAGCTCTTGTTTACCCGCTCTCCGAAACGCTAGATGGCGCACTTCCTCGCGGCATTCTATGATATTACCAGAACGTGTGAGAGATCTTCAAGGTATGGATCTTTACTGAGGGTTTATATATAAGATCCAGACAGGATTGTGTGTTTTGGAGAGATTAGATCCAGTATAACTTCATGTGGAGAAATGCTTGTGTTGTTGTTGTGCGTTACATATAATTGACATATTACTTTTTTGGCGTAAAACTGTATTAAAAGGGACCTTGACTATATATAATACACTAAGTGCCCATAATTGACATTGCAGTCTTCTAACAATGAAAATATATGCTTTTCATACAATGTTTTTATTTCAAATAATGTGTTCTCTAAAATATATTAATAAAAACTGATTTTTTTTTTTAATTCTGAGCTTCTACTAACCATAGGCTAAATTAACCAGACTTTGCACATAGTTTTTAATTTATGTTATTAAAGATTTTGTTGCAGAATTATCTGTTAATATAACATTACTTTTTTATTCTTTTATTACATTTTATGTGAACCTGGGCAAAAAAACAAACTCATTCATACAGTTGGTTGCTTGTCAAAACTTTGAAAACATTAACATTTTTTAAAAGTCTCTTATGCTCACCAAGGCTTATTATTATTATTATACATTTTATTCAATGTTGATAATAATCAGAAATGTTTCTTGAGCAGCAGTATATTATACTGATTTCTGAAGATCATGTGACACTGAGTACTGCAGTAATGATGCTGAAAATTCAGCTTTGATCACAGAAATAAATTACATTTTACTGTATATTAACATAAAAAATAGTTATTTTAAGTGGTAATAATATTTCACAATCTTGTAAGGTTTTTCTCCAGTGTGAATCCTCTGGTGCTGTTTTAAACTGCTTGAAATAAAAGTCTTTTCACACTCAAAGCACATATACTCTCACACAGCAGTATATACAGGTGCATCTCAATAAATTAGAATGTGTGAGCCAAAATCATCACAATTAAAAGAACCAAAGACTTAAATTACTTCAGTCTGTGTGCATTCAATTTATTTAATACACGAGTTTCACAATTTGAGTTGAATTACTGAAATAAATTAACTTTTCCACGACATTCTAATTTATTGAGATGCACCTGTATTTTCTGATGCATTTTCAAACTTTGTAAACATGAAAATATCTTTCCACACAAATGACATGAATGTGGCTTCTCTTGTATGAACTGTCAGGTGTTTCTTCAGGACTGAAGCCCTCACATTGATCACATGCGTACAGCTTCGCTCTAGTGTGGAGGTTCATGTGTCATTTAAGACTGAACTTAAACAAAATAAAGTAAAAATCATGTTTCCAAACTTTTGACAAGCGTACTGTAAGTGTATTTTTTTATATTATAAATATTTTATGTGATATATGAGATTTGGGGGTCAATATGTATTATAAAATATTAATATTGAAATAATGAGTTAAATAGGAATAGAAATAGCAGTCTTCAGTGTCACATGATCTTCAGAAATCATTCTAATACGCTGATTTGCTGCTCAAGAAACATTAATTATCATCATCAATGTTGAAAACAGTTATTTTTGTGGAAACTGATACATTTTTCAGGATTCTTTAAGAGCGGAAAGATCAAAGGAACAGCGTTTATTTGCAATAGAAATCTTGTTACGTAAATCAAAAGTGACAGTAACGATCTTTATGTTACAAAAAATTGCTATTTTAAATGCTGTTCTTTTGAACTTTCTTTTCATCAAAAGTAAATTACATTTGGAAAATGTACTGTAATAAAACAGTAAACATTTATTTAAAATTGTAATACTTAAAAAAAAAAAAAAAAAATTTAAAAATAAAAAGTCTTACTGAGCCCAAACCTTTTAACTATCTAATCATGGCCAAAAGAATTTGTGATGTATTTTGTGTATAAAAAAAATAAAAAAAAATACATATACATATACCTCCCTCCCTGTTTCCAACAGAACCCTGGATTTGACTTCAGCGGAGCAGAGATCTCTGGGAACTTTCACGCCGGTGGAAGATAAGAAGACTACTTTCATTCCTGTACTTGATGTAGTCTTACTAAATTGCAGCAGTTTTTTTCCCTGGAGAATATATAGTTTCTTCCTCTGGAGTCTTTGAGTTTCAGATACAGGAAGCGTATCACAGCGAGTCAAAGCCATAATATATCACAAGCAGCCTTCGAGTCGGGTGGGTTTAATTTACAAATGCAAAGTTTTTTTGTAATCAGTGGTTTCAGAGGACTGTTTGCTCAGCTTATCCTTTGAATTTCAATAAATCATGTAATTCAAGCGCTTGTATTAAATGCCTCAAACATTACAAACGAGCACAAGTGTTTTGCATTCCAATAAGGTTTTATTGAAAGGTTCAACTACATCATTTTGCAGAACGCTGCTCTCAACTTCCAGAGTCTCACAATTCAATTCAATCCGCTTTATTTGTAGCACTCATTTCTTGGTTATATACCATGCTCATGGTTACACAAGACTGTAGCAATAACCCAAATGTAAAATGAGCTTCAACCTGGTCAGTTAGTAAGTCATTAGCGATTTTTCTTTTTATTAGAGGCATATTTAAAACCTGCATTTCCATAGCCATCTAGATTTCGGCGTAATAAAGAAAAGAAAACCAAAAAAACAAAATCTTGTTTCGTCACCTTGGGTAGGAGTGTGCATTACGACAGCTGACAGCCTAGGGTGGGAGTGAAGGGTTTTGGGCCTGATCTCTTGGTTCTGTTGTTGTCTTGAATCTCAAAACCCTTCTCCCTCCTCTTCCACATGGTGGACTGAGGACCTAGGCGGCTCTATACTTCATTGCTTCAAACAACCGGCGCGTCCCGCGCCGATTCAGATGAACATACTGTACACGTGCAAGCCTTACTTGCTCAAACTCACCCTTGACTAGCAATCAAGACGTGAAATAAATACAATCACAGCAGGTGTCAAAGAGAACAAAGACTGAGGAAAGGAGAAGTAGAGAAATTAGTGTTGGGTGCCCATAACACAGATTAGAAGTTTTAAAGCATTCACACGACTGCATTTAGCAGGTTTTTGTTATGGGCGCTCGACACTAACGGTCTTAACAAGCGTATTCGGGGATCGTGGGTAGATGGGCGATCTTGTAGTAGCTGTGCTTCAGCTGTCTGGCGGTTCGACCTGAAATCATCCATCGCAGTCTCTGGCCGTTTGGCTTCAGGCACTTGGTGGAGGCGTATTCAGCCAGGCATTTAGCCACCAGCTCCCTCACGCAAACCAGGTCTCCAGCTTTAACCTGAAGCACAGAATCAACCACAAGACACCATAAATCAACACTGAAAACATTTACACTGCAAAAAATCATGTTCTTCCTTAGTACGTTTGTTTTTTCTAGTATAACAAATTCTTGAATCAGGATGCGTTTACTTGACAAGTAAAATGACTTAATATTTTCAGAAAACAAGACATAATATTTTATCCAAATTTTGTTCGTACACAAGACTGTAGCAATAACCCAAATGTAAAATGAGCTTCAGCCTGGTCAGTTAGTAAGTCATTAGCGATTTTTCTTTTTATTAGAGGCATATTTAAAACCTGCATTTCCATAGCCATCTAGATTTCGGCGTAATAAAGAAAAGAAAACCAAAAAAACAAAATCTTGTTTCGTCACCTTGGGTAGGAGTGTGCATTACGACAGCTGACAGCCTAGGGTGGGAGTGAAGGGTTTTGGGCCTGATCTCTTGGTTCTGTTGTTGTCTTGAATCTCAAAACCCTTCTCCCTCCTCTTCCACATGGTGGACTGAGGACCTAGGCGGCTCTATACTTCATTGCTTCAAACAACCGGCGCGTCCCGCGCCGATTCAGATGAACATACTGTACACGTGCAAGCCTTACTTGCTCAAACTCACCCTTGACTAGCAATCAAGACGTGAAATAAATACAATCACGGCAGGTGTCAAAGAGAACAAAGACTGAGGAAAGGAGAAGTAGAGAAATTAGTGTTGGGTGCCCATAACACAGATTAGAAGTTTTAAAGCATTCACACGACTGCATTTAGCAGGTTTTTGTTATGGGCGCTCGACACTAACGGTCTTAACAAGCGTATTCGGGGATCGTGGGTAGATGGGCGATCTTGTAGTAGCTGTGCTTCAGCTGTCTGGCGGTTCGACCCGAAATCATCCATCGCAGTCTCTGGCCGTTTGGCTTCAGGCACTTGGTGGAGGCGTATTCAGCCAGGCATTTAGCCACCAGCTCCCTCACGCAAACCAGGTCTCCAGCTTTAACCTGAAGCACAGAATCAACCACAAGACACCATAAATCAACACTGAAAACATTTACACTGCAAAAAATCATGTTCTTCCTTAGTACGTTTGTTTTTTCTAGTATAACAAATTCTTGAATCAGGATGCGTTTACTTGACAAGTAAAATGACTTAATATTTTCAGAAAACAAGACATAATATTTTATCCAAATTTTGTTCGTTTCTCGCTTAAAACAAGCAAAAATATCTGTCAATGGGGTAAGAAAAATAATCTTAATTCGAAGGCTAAACAAGATTATTGTTCTTACCCCACTGGCAGATATTTTTGCTTGTTTTAAGCAAAAACTAACAATTTGAATAATATTTTCAGAAAGCAAGACATAATATTTTAAGTCATTTTATCTGTCAAGTAAATGCACCCGGATTCAAAAATTTGTAAATATTTATACTAGAAAACAAGACAAAAATACTAAGGAAGAAAATTTTTTTTGCAGTGTAACCCAAAAATACATTTTAATAAATTTTTATTTTGTTAATGCATGTTATTGATCTTACTCAATGGTTCATTGTTTTTTTAAAGGTTGTCATGTTTAATCAAAATGTTATAATTGGATGTTGCAGTAAAACAAAAGATAGCTCTCTGCGGATTTATTAGGGCCCCATGAAATCAGTTTTATTTTTTTCCCCAAATTCCATTTTTTTTTCTTAGTTTTAAATTTGAAATGGAAGGGAAAAAACAAACCAAAACGGAATCTTAAATTTTTCTGGACTCCATTTTAATGGTTAAAAAAAGTGATCAAAAATACATTTAAATCATGACACTTATACAATTTAACAACGGTTTATTATTACACACAAAATACATTTTTAGGATTCTGTGAACGTTGTTTTTCAGGGAATGAAGAGAAGGCATAAAGCCAATTTAAATTTATAATCAAATGAAATTCAATTTATTTTTGGAAAAAAAAAAAATTGTTTTATGGTTCAAATTAGTGCTGTCAAACGATTATCATGATTAATTGCATCCAAAATAAAAGTTTATGTAATATAAGTGTGTATACTGTGTATATAAATAAGCATAGTATATTTTGAAAATATTTACATGTATATATTATTTTTATACAATTTATATTATATATAAATATATTTAACATACAAATATAACATTTTTCTTAAATATATACATGTATGCGTGTGTATTTATATATAGCCTACATAATAAATATACACAGCACACATACATTATGTAAACAAAAACTTTTATTTTGGATGCGATTAATCGCTTGACAGCACTAGTTAAAATTAAAATATAGAAGAAACATTGCGATTATTCCTTAAAAATGTTTTAGTAGAGTCCATATCGCAATCTGATTTAAGTGTACTGACCTACTTTTGATCAATTCTTTCAAAATGTTACCAATTCTATGGCATTTCATGTTATACAGTAAATTACATTTTTATGACTGGATTCAGTGATTCCATCTGCATTTTTCGTGTCACACAAATCAGCATTCATTTATGTAGGACTTCTCGAATCATTTCGTCCCCTTAACTTTACTTCGGCTTCATTGCAACTTTACCAATTACATATTATTTGATGCACGGTTTCATAGATTGAGAAGTTCTGCAAGCCCTTCTCGGAGTAACTAGTTCAGTGCGCTCTACGCCTCCACCCCGTTTCACAAACTAGTAAATCTCTTTAGCAGCAGCTGTTTGTGGAAATCTTGCAGGTAACTTACAGTCAAACTCTGCTGTAGAGCATCCAGAGCTTCTCTGAGAGCAGGAACCGGCTCACACTCGTGCTGATCTTCGATCTCCAGAGCCAGAAGAGCCAAAGCCAGCAGCGACGGCTGGAGAGACAGAATTACAGTCAGACTACAAACACACGTGGATCGTTTCCAAATGCTCCAAACAGCTTACCTTGATTTTAGTGAAAGTAAAGGAGCAATGGCAAGCCTTCAACTGAGCCTCCAGCCTCTCGATGTTCAGAGTCCGCTTACTGAAGAGAAACACGGTTTAAACCAGCTTATGGTTATTTTCAAGAAATGTTGCTTTTTTAATGCATTTATTTAACAAGGATGCATTAAATTGATCAAAAATGATAGTAAACACATTCATGTTTCAAAAGGTTTCCATTACAAATAAATGCGGCTCTTTTCTGTGAATCCTAAAAAATTAAACGCATCAACAGTCTCCACGAAAATATTTGGCAGCACAACGGTCTTCAACATTGATAGTTTATTATAATAAATTAGAAATGCGGCTTTAACTGTAATAAAGCAAGTTGCAGATGAAGCACTAAAGTGAAAAATGAATATAAAACGTAAAAATGCATTACGGTTTCAATGAAAATATTGGGCAGCACAACAGTTTTCAACACGGTTAACTTTTCCAGACTCAAATTTCCAAACCTCAGTCGATTTTCATACAATATTTAACATGGTCCATAGAGCATTATTTTCAGCTTTATATTTGGTATAGAGTTCAGTCATCTGTAAATATGTTCGATTTTCTCATGACAACATACAGAGTCCCTAAAATAAAAAGCCCTTAGGTCTCTTTAATGCATACTTTGTAGAGGCCAAGAAACCACACTGTGAAGTGGGCTGATGGCACAATAGGTGGCTCTGTGTGTTGTCCTATATGCTACGGTTAATGGTTTCTGATGCACAAATAAAAGTCTGTATATTTTTTACTTTTGCAAAGGTCCTTGAGGTTCTGCAATACAGGGCTGAAGAATATTGCGAGAAGAAACCCAAAATGCTTATAACCTACATTTTTAGCATATTAGAATGATTTCTGAAGGCTCGTGTGACACTGAAGACTGCAGTAATGATGCTGAAAATTCAGCTTGGATCACAGGAATGAGTTACATTTTAACATATATTCACATGTTTTGAATTGTAATAATATTTCACAATTTTACTGTTTTTAATCAAATAAATGCAGCCCTTGGGAGCAGAAGAGACATTAAAATCTTACAAACTGTTGAACAGTAGTGCATACACACAAACAGTGCAGCAGCTCACCTTTCTGCATCCAGCTGCTCTTGAATGCGAGCGTGAAAGAATCTGAGGAAGTGAAGGGCGGTCGGAGCCTTGACCTTCCAGTAGAGCTTCTCCAGAATGATCTTCTCCATCCTCATCATGTCGTGGACCGTAAAGCGGTTCTGGCTGATCCGGAGGAGGTCACTGGCCAAAGGAACGCTCTTCTCCTCTTCGGACGTCTTCACGGCGATGTAGAAGCAGCAGAGAGCCACACAGGACAGATGCTTGGGCTGAATCTGAAAACAAGAGAAAACCGTTCAACAGGAACCCACACAGAAAACATCTGGGATTCATACAGAGAAGTAGAGCTGGATGAGTAATCGAAACCCAAATTCATAACCTCGAACCGACATAATTTTCCCATGTCTGTTATTTGGGTATTTTAATCCTATTAACGCTCTCCCCTTAAAAACATAACACTGTGTCGACGCTAAACAGACGTGTATTTCTCTTAATCAGCAGTGCTCTATTTGCATACATTCATTATTTAAAACATTTGTTTACACAGGAGATGCAAGTTATTTTTTTTCTACTTTTCACATTGCATTATTTAAAATATTAATTTACAAGTTTATTTATTTATTCACTTTTTGACACCATGCCAGCGTCAAGGCTATTTTAACGGCAATCTCTAAATTATTAATTAGATACAAGTTATTTTCTACTTTTCGCATGACAATATTTAAAATGTATTTTGTTTGCAAGAGATGCTGGTTATTTTATACTTTTAACACGGCAATATTCATTTATTTTGTTGGCATTTTAAGGAAACTTGCTTTTTATAATAAAACTGAAATGTGACTTTCCACAAGACATCTTCATTTCAAGCAAGCTTTGATTTCAGTTGTTCGAAATATTCAACAAATAACCATAAATAGTTAGTTTCCTTCAATTATTTTAAAATCAGAAAGATAAGAAATGCACTTTCATTTCATTAGAAAAAAAAAAATTCCACATTTAATAGTGGAGTATTTTTACACTACAACCCTTTAAATGAACTATGAGGGCAAAAAAATTATAAAAAAAATTTGAAAAAATAAAAAACTCGTTCAGTAATCATAATCGAGTTAAACCATTCAATTAATCGAGGTTTTGATTTGAGGTCAAATCGCCCAACCCTACTGAGAAGGTTGAGTACTGAGATGATTAGGCTAATTACGGAGATAAACTGAAGAGTTAAATCTGGCCAAAAGCACACGCACCTTCACCTTCAGATGATATCGTAATTGTTGTTTTAACGATGTGCGATTTGGCATTATCGAGTATTTTGCAAAAACCAAACAAAACACCTATGTGATGCATTACGTGATGAAGTCTAGTCTAGTGCGTGTGCGCTTTTACGGTGCGCTCTTTCGCTGCATGATTCAGTCTATTAAAAAGCATTCAGAATGATCACAAATTCAAGACATGGGGGCAGAAAAGGTGTATATTTATACCACTTCATATAGTTAATCAGTTTCACACGAAGAGTGCCGTTTTTCTCCAAAAATTAGCATGATTACGAATGCGATATTGATATTAAACACAGACGTTCTACATTGTGGATAATCATCTCAGCCATGTGCAAATGTAACATGCTGTTGAAAGCTTTTATTATGTGTTTTGCATACGGACTCAATATAACATGAAATGCAAATACAAACTGAGCACATGCGCAAACAAAAATGGTCTAATAATAAACCTAACATTACATTATTTAAAATTGAACTTGAGCATTACATTGAAGCTTTAAAAGATCCAAAAAATAAAAAAGGATATTATTGAATCCTTTTCTTATGGAAATTTCTTGCAAATATTCAGCTAAAGCAGTATTAAACACAGACGTTCTACATTGTGGATAATCATCTCAGCCATGTGCAAATGTAACATGCTGTTGAAAGCTTTTATTATGTGTTTTGCATACGGACTCAATATAACATGAAATGCAAATACAAACTGAGCACATGCACAAACAAAAATGGTCTAATAATAAACCTAACATTACATTTAAAATTGAACCTGAGCATTACATTGAAGCTTTAAAAGATCCAAAAAATAAAAAAGGATGTATACAATTTTTGAATCCTTTTCTTATGGAAATTTCTTGTAAGTTATCCCCTTTATTTGACTCTCTAACTCTAACACTTTCTATTCTATTTTAATTCTACTTTATCTATATTTA